CAAGAACCCACCTTGTGTGATGTTCACACTCACATCACAGGGAACCTCCATTCTGTAGATTTTGATGAAAATGGCGTTCGTATGCTTTTAAGCTCGCACAGAATAGTAGCTTTGGTGGACCAATCTTTGCCGTTTTTCGTGTGCCCTTTTTTCCTTTCTCCCTCCTCGGGCGTATTTGATCCTTTCTTAATGGAGAAACCCATATTTCCTCCTCGCTGTTTCTAGGGTTTACTCGTCTCCGCCGGCCGCTTTCCGATCACCCCGTAAGTATCTCCGGCGAAACTCGCCGGCAATCTTTGATTCTTTATGGTTGGTTATTTGCTGGTTATTTTCAGTTGGGTTTCGTTTATTGATGGTGTTGATTCGCGTTTGAGGCACGCGCACTGTTGTTCTTTCTTCTTACTATCTTTCTGTGTATTGGGCAGCATTTGGATAGGGATGAATGAGGATAAGACCTCCACGGTTTTAGCCATTTTTGTAAGAAGGTTGCCAGCTCATTGTTGACTCAAAGATACATAATTTAAGGCATCCGCAGCCCCAGGGTAACACCTCCATCACATCCATCTATTTTGTACCTCTCTATATATACGTATACGCGGCGCCTGGACTTTGTGCATATGTACTTTTTTTCCTTTTCTCTCTCGTTTCTGTTTGAAGTTAAGATTGATTGATTGATATAGGGTCATTGTTTTGTTTGTTAGGCAAAAGGCAACCCTGCATATATGGGTGGTGCTTCAGAATCAGAATCATCGGATCTGTCGGTGATATTGCCCCGAGTTCTCATTGTCTCGAGGCGATGCGTTCGCAAGAACAAATTCGTCGATTTCGTAGGTAAAGAAAAAAAAAATAGAAATAGCTTTTGAGATTCGGTTGTTTGTTTTGGGGATTCATTCATGAATGGTGTGCGTGTGTGATGATATATTGGTTTTGGTTAATGATTTAGGCGAATACCACCTCGATCTGATCGTGAGGTACGGCGCAGTCCCGGTGATAGTCCCGCGCGTGAGCGGCGTCCACACCCTGGTGGACAGCTTCGGCCCCATCCACGGAGTCCTGTTGTGCGAGGGAGAGGACATCGACCCATCCCTCTATAATAACAATTCTTCCCAAGATGGAGATGCTAATTCCCATTCCCTCTCCCCGGAGGAGTTGGATGAGATCCGTCTCACCCACGCCTCGGACACTGCCCTCGACCGCGAGAAGGATGCCATAGAGCTGGCCCTCGCTAAGCTTTGCCTTGAGCGTAACATCCCGTATCTGGGCATCTGCCGAGGCTCCCAGCTCCTGAATGTGGCCTGTGGGGGTACCCTTTACCAGGATGTAGACAAGGAGTTGTCGAGAGGAGCGGTGGCCCACATCGACTACCAAAACTACGACGCCCACCGGCACCCGGTACGTCTCGTCCCCCACACACCACTGCACGACTGGTTCGGGATGGAGGAGATATGGGTCAACAGCTATCATCATCAGGGGGTCAGGAGGCTGGCACACAGGT